ACACGGCATTCAAGAAATTCCTCAAATCCAGTTTAAGCGACAAGCCGCGAAACATCACAAAACCTTGTGTGTGGAAAAACAGGGCCCCCACAGCGTTCCTTTTTGTAGAATTTAGACGTTTTCGCGAGTCTACGATCGAGCAAGGAGGGGCGGATCGTCGAGCGGTCATCAGATGAGTGAAGATGAATACAACTTCGATGGCCACCAATAGCAAAAAAGCAGGGATAGACCGGGATAGCTCACATTCGCTTGAAACTCGTCGTAGCCACCGTGCCAATACCAGGAGATGTAGCATGGTCTGCCATGTCCTATCCATCATGACAGCTGTGTGTTTGTTCGTTTGCCCGATTCGGGTACGTGGTGCGCTTTAAGTCATTTTTTCGGGCACCGTTGAGTGGCCTTGGGGTTGGGCAAGTCAGGGTTCCAGGTCTTCGGCTTCGGGCCTTCCATGTTTCAAGTCTTAGTGCTTCGAGGGTTCGCGATGGTTTGAATTTGCAGGCAGGCCTGTCCCGTCAAGATTAGAGTTTAAGCCTACGCCCTGAAGACAGGACGGTTCAGATGGGCTTACGGTTTACCGCCTTTGGGGGCTCGTTAAGGTTGGGTGGTGGTTCGATATGGGGCGGGCCGCTCATTAGAAATTACTGCTTGCTGCCTGCCTGCTGCTTGCTGTCCATCACTCTCGATTTGGTTTTGTTTGGCGTTTCGGGATGCGCTCACATACGCTCCCTATCACTGGATCATGCTGGATCACTTGGGCTGGCTTAGAGAGGTGATTGGGACGGCCTGGGGCACGAAAGCAGGGTTATCCCCTCGAGAGCGGGCTCTGCGTAAACATTCAGATTCTGCCTCAATGTCTGACAGGCTTTCGCTGTCCTGGAGGAGATGCAGAAAAACACTTCGCACCAGACCCAAGCGACAGGTTTTACGCAGGCAGGTAGGAGAAGCGGATTTGGTTCAAAGCTCTTCTCCCCAGGCTCCATCCAGATGAGGTTACCTACAACACACTGCTCGATGGCTGTGCCCGCTATGGGCTTTTCGATCGTGGCCTGGACAGGGTTGATCAAGCCATGCACATTGAGTAACTCTGAACTCTAAAGACTAAAGTTTGGTCGGGCTAGTTGGCTTTCATGTGCGATTGCAGCCGTTGGTGTACGCAGGAAGTCCTTGCCGACATGCGAAGGGCTGGTGTACCTCCTAGCAACTACACGCTCTCCGTGATTGCTAAGCTCGCGAACCGCAGCAAGAAACCAAAGAAGGCGTTCGAGATGGTGGACACCTTGCGGAAAGAGTTTGGACTCAAGCTGAACATGCATGTCTACAACAACCTCATCCACGCAGCTACTTGCGATAGTAACATGATGAAAGCACAAGAAGTCTTCGGCACTATGCTTGACGAGCGAGTTCGACCAGATGGACGCACCTACACTTTGCTGCTCAGGTTCTGCATTACGCAAAAGGCAGCCGTGCCTGCGACGGCACTGCTCAGGACAGCTTTTGGATTGAAGCACCAAAAGGAGGATTTGGTGAAGACCGGCAGCGAAGATTCTTTGCACCCTCTACTGGTCAAAGCCCTTCTGCGCTCATGCCACTGGGCAGCTGCACCCCTCCGCGGCAACTCTGCTTTGCAGGAAGAAGTTATCCAGGACACCTTCGACTTCCTGTCGCGCAGCATCGATTCATCTGGTGTGCCCAAGCTTCTGGCAGACGTACAGAAGTCACTGCCCTCGTTGAAGCTCCCGAAGTCCACTACGAGCAGAATCTTTGCCAAGCCCTGAATGCCCTGACGGAAGGAGCAAGTGCTCGCGAGCACAGGTTCAGATGTGCCAGTTGCTGTCAGAAAAGGTTCCCTTGCGTGCTGCATTGCTACGCTGCTACACTGGCTGATCAGAGATCAGAGGTTGCATGTTTCGCTATCTATTTCCCTCGAATGCGCTTGCACATGGAACAACGACACCAGGTTTTCAGCGATGGTGCGGTAGGTGTCCCGCAGGCATCCTTCGCTGCTGTGAGTGCGCAGTGACGGCACGACTTGAGAAACTGTGCCGCTGGGGCCTCTATGTTATCTATCCCGACTTGCAGGAGCCAATGCTGGCCAAACATTGGCTGTTAGCGGCTGCTGCTCATGGTCACAAGGAGCTCTTGAATTGTTGTAAGATGCACTAGACCGAGGTAGAGTTAGGCCAGAGAGAAGTAAGATCGTTCAGATCTGCAGAATACTTTTCGTTAGCAGAGTCTCGGCTGTTGATGGAAGTGTACACCGTTTCCGACATCCGAAAATATGCGCACGATTGCGTGACGTGTGTGAGTTGGTGTTGCCTTACTGAGCCAGGCTCGGGTCTGGAATGCTTCACACTTGACTGTCGGCTAAGGCAATGAGGTCCTCTCTCCAACTGCGTACTCTGTTTACCAGGAGGCATTGGACCGAGTGAATTGGGGAGCAACCATGCGCCCACCCGTGGAGAGACGGCCTTAATCTCAGGTCAACCGCTGAATTTGATGAACATGTGTTGCCCCTGTTACCTCAAAGCAGCGTCGCTACAGCCGCTACACTCAACGATCGTGCAAGTTCTCAGGTGGCTCCATGTGATGGAAACATGGGGCTGGATTTGACCTCGTCGCAGAAAACACGTTGTCTGCATAGGTAACATCAGAGACGTTCCTCTACTTTTGGATGTTCACTCACAGCGGCATGCGCTTTTCCATTGTTGTGACATGATGGCTCGAGGCGTTGATAAAGAGCATGTTGCCGTATGGATCCAAGTCCATCACGGCGAGTAAAAGTAAGACTGTTTTAGTAGAGCTTGTTTAGTCTAACCTTTAAGCGGTCAGGTACTCTCACGAGTATCCAAGCAACAGCATAAGACAGTCCGCATGAATGTGAAGCATACATTACTCCCCCATGTTCGCTGACGTCTTCCTGCACACTGGGTAATGGGGCAAGCCTCGCTTGCAACCTTTTATGCTCCCTGTCCGCAGTGTCGGAAAGCTCCACCTGGGCAAGCATATCATGTCACCAATGTCACCATTAACTGAACAAACGTGCGCTGAATTTCAGCTCGGTGGCCTCCTTGTCCCGAAGCCACATCATGTTGATGTTCAGCTTGCGCAGGTCGAGCAATATGAGCAATGTCAACAGCCGAACTGTCGAGAAACATGCGCCTTCAACTTGTTTGACAGCATTGTTAGGTTGTGTTCGCCATCCTCACCATCTTCTTGAACACAGAGCCACTGCCAAAGTTACGTCGAAGTGTGCATGTTTACTCCCGCGCATGTGTTCACTTCCTCAACTCAGGTTCATTGGCACTTGGAATGCGAATGCTATTTATCGAACAGTTTCCACGGCATGGAACTCAGAACGCTGCAGTTTTCCAGCTGAGTCGCTGCAGCTATGGACGGGTTGCTGGGACAGTCAATGTAGTCACAAGAATCGAAGGCTAGAGCCAAGAAGTTCAGCTGCACCTGCTAGTGCGACTGCTCCTGCTGCTGCTGCTGCTGCTGCCGGTGCTGCTGCCGTTGATGGATGATCATGATGATGGCAATCATCGCAGCAATGATCTTATCTTCGATGCTTGCTGGTACGTACTGATGATGATCTTTATGATCATCATGAAGAAGAAGACGACAACGATAATTACGACGAAGATGATGACGGCAACGGTGACGATGACGACGATGATGGAGATGATGATGACGATGCTGATGGTGATGATGATGATGCTGCTTGTGGTGATGGTGATGATAATTAAGGTCAGTATGTGGCCGAGGATGGCCGCAGTGATGCAGTGACAGTAGCCATGACAGTAAGATGGCCTCATGTTGATGAAGGTGAGTGTGACTGCATGAATGACCCTGCCGTCGCTGCCGTCGCTGCTGCTGCAGCTGCTGCTGCTATTGTTGTCGCTGTTGTTGCTTCTTTTCTGCTGCTGCTGTTGTTCTTGTTGGGGGTCTTGTTGTTGTTGCGTCTGGATCTGGGTGTGGATGAGTGTGAGCAGCTGGTAGCAAGACAAATCAGCCTTGCTTTGTTCATGGCAGTTCGTAGGTCTGTAGCGGTATAGCAGTTCGGCTGAATCGTAAGTAACTAACGGTGAGTGCTGTACTCTACAGTGTTTTCCCGGCGCTGATCGGCCGCTTAAGGTGTGTAATCAGTCAACATTGCACTGGTAGCCTCCAAGGCCGTAAACAGCAAAAGCATTGTAGGGCCGGGAAAGCATATCTACATTTTTCGCGTTCTGTTAGAGAAGGAAATGATTGCCAGCATGGGCTCAGGGCGCCGCGCGAGAATTCAGGACAGAACGCAGAGTGCAGAGAGAACTGGGCAAAGGGGGCAAATGGAAGTGGAGCGAGGATTCGAAAGGCAAGAAGGGAGATGGAAAGAAGGGCGATGGGAAGCGGAAGTGGGGTGCGACGGGGGACGCAAGTGCTCAGATAGTGAGCCGAGCCGACCCCCTCGAAGCCCATTGAAATCATTGGCTTCAATCCGGGTAAGACTTCCCTGTGGTTTAGTTCCCTTGGAAAGACCAAACTACGGACACAGACGATGCTCGGGCCACCCTGGTACAGCCTTTATTGCCCACCCACGTGACCACCCTTCAGCAGGATTTTGCCTTTTATTAGCGAGTGGCTGTGCCAGGTTGATTGTCTTTGGACAGTTAGCTTGGAGAGTTGGCAGCCCTTGGTACCTAGCCGTAAGTGCGGGTATCAAACTTTTTCCTCCGACGGGAGTGGCCGCCCATGGGCCAGCTGCCTCTGGGGCTGTTTATTATTTTGGGCTACGGCCCGTCTTTGTGGGTAACTAGGCGCATTGCCAACTCTGATCTCTCCCAGCTTCTCCGGAAAAGGCGGGATCTGTTCTGCGAAATACCTATATGTGCAATAAGACTGATAAATGTAAACATAGATTATTAAGGTTTATCGGTTCGTTTATACCATGCGGTATTTGATTCTCTGTTTTTGTTGCAAAATTGGTTGAACAGCCGTGCTTTGCAAAACGTTGTTTTTTACGATGGGTTTGAAGGCACCCTGAAGAAACATTGGAAAGGAAGTAAACACTAAATCATAAGCACAATGATTTTCCAAATTGCTGGGTGGCGGGGACGGCTCGTTTCAACAATGTCTTTATTGGTCTTTCCAATGATATCGGAGCGGGGGCCTTTAAAACCAAGGTACATTTTCTTTTGCACGGTCACGTTCGCGTAACATTGGTGTTGGAAGCGGACCTTCACAAACCCACAGTCTCTTGAAGCTTTCCATCGAAACGTTGGAAAACATTGGAAAACACCAATAAAACTTTCAAAACAGTCATAAGTTGCGAAGATTTGCGAAGCCCAGCCACGCAGATTACGAAGGAGGTCCCACAGAACACCCGCTCTCCCAGTCACTAGCGGGACCCCAGAGCCTGTACCTCGACCGCCACAGTTCACGTCACACCCGGCCCCGGCCACAGGTGACACGAGCCAACATCCACAGTACATCACAGTACGCGACCAGAGGATGACCATGACACACACAGCCGGACCATTTCCTGCTTGCAGCCCGCCCCGCAATGCCGTCGCCGACACTTCAGACACATTCAGCACCCGGTTTGTTGTCGACAGGGCGGCTTTGGAACACAGCCGGGCTACTCGAGGGCAGGCAAGCTATACACCTTGATCGGCAAAGAAACCCACCCCGCCGAGATTCACTTGAAGCCATCGGCAATCCCAGGCAGAACTGTGCAGGGTGTCCGTGTTTACCTCGCGCCTGCACTCTGGACATCACAGACCGTGACGGGCGTTTCCTCGTTCTAACAGTGGACATGGCAGCGGCACCCCTCACCGTCCATTTGGTCTATGCCAACCACAACTAGCGCGAACCTCGCATTTGAGAAAAGGACCGAGCTGGGCGACATCCTTCACGGCGCCCAGGATCCCCCAAACTCTCCCTTCCTTGTGGTTCATTGTGGGAGACTTGACAAGCTTGGGGCCACGACGCGACTCAGGTCCGTCCACTCACATCACACACCACTCCCACCGCAAGCCAAGCGATATCAAGCAATGACGGTTCCACTGCTTGTTTCCGGATTCTTGCGGGGGGCCGGGGGCATGCGGAAAGGTCAGGAAATCCTATGTCATTGTATTTTCGGGTGAAGGTCATTCCAGCGCTGAAGTCGTGTTGCTCAGCAACCTGAGCAGCATTCTGTTGGGCTAAGGCACTCAGTGCGTATCCCTTCCACAATCCAGCACACGGAGCCAATGGCACGTCGACAAGGCACAAATTCTGCCAGACAGGTAAGCTCGTAGATTCTGCTCGCAGAAAGCGTTCACGAAGGTGAGCCAGTGTCACTAAATTGCCGACAGAGACAGGAAGAAGTGCTAGGCGATCTTATGAACCTTGAAGGATCCTAGAAAAGGCTCTGTCATTCAGTCCAAAATTATACCTTTGGCTGCTTCGGTTGACATGCCAGTCAGGTTGAAGGTTATCCTATGGAAGCTCGTGATCGATGCAGTAGTCGGGACCGTGCTTCTATTCGCATGCCCCTGCCAGGCACATCGACCACGTTCAGGCCAGCCCGAATGCATGGCACTCTTGTGACGTGCTGGTTCACGTCTGGAAAGAGCTCTGTGTCGACAATGCTGACAGGATCCCGAACAGGTCTACCACTGGCTGAAGGCAGGGGCAAATCAGAAGGACAAGCAGCGTTAGCCCATGATTGGGAGACAGGTGTTGAGCAAAAGTATCGGGGACTGCGGGCCGCATGTCGAGCAAGAAGCAACTAAACATTTCCGGTTCAGGCACGTTGAATACTACTCAAGCAGCGGAAAAGCAGGGCGGTCTCGAAATCGATTCAAGTTCTTTCGAAGAGTTATGCATTCGTGGGAATCTGTTCCAGCATAGGACATCACTCGACCAGACAATGCTTAGCAATCCTCGAACCAGACTGTCTGGTTGCAGTCTTATGAGTCACGCAGCATGTCCCCAATCCTTGGATCTGCTGTTGCCGGGTGGGTCTCCTCGGTTGTGTGGCAACTGTCTGATCCAATCTGCGCTAGATTCTTCTCAAGGGTTACACTTTGCAGCATCGTGCCCCTTTTCATTGTCACTTGAAACTTGATATTCATCGAACCGCGTTTGTCATGTCAGAACATTGGAAGTGTTTCGGATTGTGCATTGCAACTTCAAGCGGCCGCAATCATGTCATACTCCTATGACTGACATTGTGGTATAATTCACGTTTCTGCTTCTGCCCTTACCTGCCCTTCGGATACCTGTAAGTTTGGAGAATGTTCAAACAAGACTTGTGCTCAAACAGACTAGAAACCGACAAAACCACGCAAATAAAGCAGGCCCCACCCCACAGCCTCCTCTTCTGCAAGATTACCAATCAGACGAACATTGCTAATGCTGGCAATCTTACCAACATTACGAAGGTCACCAGCACCATTGGCAGCACCACATCTTCGCTCACAAGCTTTAAAGTGTTCCAGCGGCCAACGATGTTCTTTTTGCTATATTGCCCCTCGAGACGATACATGCAATATTCCGAAAAGCAAGAATATCATTGCTGAGATTGTCAAAGCAAATAGCATGGTGGGTCCCACCAACATGTGATTTGTCATTGGTCAATCACTAGCACTTACCAGTAAGTACTTAGTTGAAGGGATCACATCGTGCCCACACGGAGGGTCACTCACATCTAAGTGATATACTCGATTAACTTCAGTATAGCCAGAGCACGCGGGAAGGGGTGGTAGTATGTGCACACCTATACTTGTATACTTGTCGAGAATTTGTTTACGCGCCTGAAAGGCCTTCTTACCTTGATGACAAGCCTAGCATAGCATGATGTGCTAGGCTTTTCTCGCCAAGCCATGCCAAGCCGACAAGGCGTCCATCCAGACAATGCATCGGTCGGAAAGAAACTCGGGCTGCTAAACGAAACTGCATGCGCAACGAGGTCAAATCATCCATTGCCAGGTGAGGCGTGAACGACCCATAGGCACCTTCAGCGAGGCAGCATATCCCAAACAAGATGAAATCAACAGATTTGAGTGTTCCTAATTTGGTGCTGATGGCCAAAGACTGCAGAGTCTAATCGGTCAGAGCATGCAGACGTCGCTGAAGCCTGTGATCTTCGGCGAACAAGAGCCAATGTCGTCTCATCCTCAGAGATTTCGAGAGACAACTGGCTTGTTCATGCTGAGAATTTCCACTGTCTGAGGAGCCGAAGCAGCTGGGGTAATTGGTCATCCTGGCCGGCTGCATGATGCTTCGTTGAGCAACATGTGCAGCTGACACATGCTCGCAGGAACCATAGTGTCACCCCAGCAACCGTCGGCAGCTTCAATCGCATTGTTTTAGTGCGGCACCTTGATGACTACATATCACAAGCCGTTGGGAATGTGACCGAAGTGGACGTTTGAGGCACGTTTCACATTCAAGCGTTGGGCTGTGGTGCCGACAGTGGGCCAGCCGGTGCCCTAGTGTGTCGGTTTTGTCTGAAAGAATCTGTGCTCTCCTGTAAGGTTCAGTTCGTCAACTCCCAACCGACTCGCAGGTTTGCGACATCTTGCGACCCTTTCGAAGCTGGTGGTATCTTTTCTCGACTTTCCATGCTACTGGGAAGGCTTTACACGAGCTATGAGCCCTTTCGCAAGAAGTGCTGATGAGGAACGTGCCCCAGTTGGACTTTTGCACTTCTTACATGCCCTATGCGAAGGAGACGACAGATCTGTGTAGACCCGGACAGAACGTTTCGTGCGCAGCTTACCCTGGAGTAAAGGGTTTGCTGTGTTGTGACATTCGACTGTGTAGACGATCTGCCGCAGCGCTGCCGTCGGAGGTCGGATAGTTGCTACACCTGGCAGACAGAGCATGCTTTCGTGCGCCAACTGTCTAGCATTGTCTTGCAGAGTGAGCAGTGCCTAGTAGCTGACTCGGTGATGCATCGAGCCTTGGCAGGATCATGCTGGAGGATACGTTTCATTCCTTGACCCGATGGAGGGTGTACAAGCATACGATGCATGAGTCTCAGCTTGAGCCACAGCGATCTGCTTGGAACAGACCGTCTACAAAGTGCTGTAATGTCCTGTGCAAAGCGTGGACCTCCAGCCATCTCCAGCGAATCCGTCACAAATTGCGAAAGCTCCTTCCGCAAAATTGAGGAGGGCTTTTGTTGAGGCCCAGCTTTGATGATTTTTGCTGAAGAAGGTGTCTAGGGGTGTTCCGGCATTTCTGACGCGAAACGCCACCTGACCCCTTCGGAACTCCAGCTTCCATGGTCACTGGTACTTGCAGGCGATTTTCCGTACGTAGGTTACGCATTCGCAAGAAGCTAAGCTCTGATCGCTTTCCGACGTGCCGAGGCATTGTTGGACAGCATGTACGAAGCCAACGCGTTCGATCTGAGATTGGGCTCCTTCACGGTGGGCTAGCATGCCTGCTTCGGACTAGTCCATGCCTTCTTCGCAGTTTGTTCGCGACACATGCAGGTAGACTTCATCGTCTACAATGCCAACGTCGCATCCCTGCAGCAGTCAGAAGCCTCCGCGTGCCTGTCAGGTGTGTTGTCTGGGTAAAGTTCGCTGCAAGGGTGCTGCACATCGACTGGGCCTGATTCGAGGACATGTTTGTACAGTTTATCCTCCACTTCACCTTCGATTTTGCCGGCAACATCGAAATGACGCAGGTTTTGCGGCAGCCTAGCTGTAGTTGCAGTCTTGTTCGTTTTCCGACGTACTCTTTGGATGGCCATGACCTCGCCATACGATGCCTCAGACAAATGAAGGTCAGCAAGCAGAAGACCATGTCGTAGAATCTTCGCTAATCAAGCATTACATTTGTGATTTTCGACCTCTGCGCAGCTGCTGTGACAGATAGCGCGAAGCTTCAACCTGAACGTATTCAACACGTTGGAAGCTTACTGGATGTCGAGCAGGCCTAGCCATGTGAATGCTTTGTTGCACAGCACCCGCCGAGGGATGTCCTGCTCTATTTGGTCTTCTACATCATTCGCATCGCCTGTCTCTCGTCCACTTTACGGACTCTGTTGCATCCTTGCTTAGAGCATGAATCATTGTCACTCTCACATGCTTTGGTGGTACCGTAAGAGCCTCCTAAACCTAAACTGAACCAAGGTGTGGTTATGCTGGTCATCTTCCTTCTCATCGAGTTTGGCCCCCGTTTGTGTCGCTGCTGTCACATGATGTCTTCTGTCCATGCCGGCTGCCGGAAAAGGGGTCTGTCAGTTGCTGATGAAGCCCAGGTTTCGACGGATGTGGGACCTGGGGTTCTTCCAGCACTTCAGGCATTCTCCACTACTGTTAACATTGCACGCTCAAGAGCCGGTGCCCGCTGCAGAACCAGCCTCCTTCCTGACCCTTCCACTCCAGACGTCCACACGCTGGCTGATGCAGCTAAAAATCTGGGTGCACAAGAATACACAACAGCGACGAGGGACCACAATGAGCATACCAATCTCTCTTGAGCATACTGTATCAAGACACATCACCGTTGTCTGTTCCTTGAAAGCAGCATGCTTGGATTATTGCCCATGGTCGACTACCGGGATGCCCTGATGCTTGGGATCATGCTGGACATCTATCATCCAAAGCCTGGTCGGGTGGCTTCTGATGCTCGTTGGTCATCTTACCGGCACCCACCTTGTGCTTGCTTCTGTCCTGGCTTCTGCTCGAGGGATTGGCGTCAGCAGCGAGCATCAGCGAGCACCGATTGATGCCGGGGAAACCGAGAGGTGTTATCCGGTTATCCCACAAGCTACGGCATGTTCGTCGCCACATGAGGGTTGTTCTAGACCGACTCTTGACCGTAGACTTGCCGCGCACTTAGTTATTTTGATGTACGTTCAGGACCTGCTACAAAATCAGCACGGCGCAAGCGCGCAAGGGCGAGCGCAAGGGCGATAGGCAGTGTAAGAAGCTGCGAGTACCTAGGAGTTGGTGGTGTTTTGAAAACCGCGTGCGCACAAGAGAGCGCATGGGCGAAGCGCAAGGCGATTTTCGAGTCACGGGCTGCAGCCATAACAAAGAACAACATCCACATACCGAATTACTAGGATTGTTCCGGCCAAGTCCTCGACTGGATCGTCCCTTCTGATTTGTATAGTCGATGACGACGACCAGCTCATACCAGCTTCGAGAGACGATGCCCACCCTCTTGAAATCTTGATCTGGGCTCGCATGCTTGTGCGCAACGAAATGGTTCACTACGGAGTGCGTGCAAGGGGGATTAGCATGGACGAATTATGGGACAACGTCACGGGGGGCAGGGTTCGAGTGTACGTGGCAAAAACTTATCTTCCAGCGCATGCGGTGTTGTCATTTTCGATTGCATGCTTTTTCTATTTCGCGACTACTGCTACTGCTGCCGCTGCAGTTGCTGCTGCTGTTACTACTAGACCTACCACTACTGCTACTACTACTACTACTACTACTACTACTACTACTGGTACTGCTGCTACTACTGCTACTACTACTCTATATGTTACTGCAGCTGCACTATAGCTTACTTACTGCTGCTGCCAGATATGACGACACGCGACCAACCATCACGACGACCCCTACGGCCACTAATGGCCACTATCAACCTGAAGCTCGAATCCGGAACCGTAAGCCCAAAACTTTCTTCCAGACTTTTTGGAGTTCCTTCGTAGTTCCCTTAATATAAATATAGGGGCCTTAATAATCCGAATAGGGCTTTGTGGTTATATTATACGATAATCATTATAAGGAACCCCAAAACCCTCTAATTATTAAGGCCCCTACATTCTCGTTGGCGCATTTCCCTAGGCTGTGGGTTATCCTGCTGCAAACATACATGTCGTTGTTGCGTATGTTGATGTTGCTGTAATGCTATGCTCGAAGCCCTAAACCCAGCAGGCAGCCTAAACTCCTATTGCTGCACCTAGCCGCGAAAAACACACCCAAGGTGTAAATCCATATAAAACCCTACAGAATGTGTAAACCCGTATACATCCTACATATCACAGAAACACTTGCCCGGGCCTTTAAGGTGGCCTTGGCACCCGTTTGCTCCGCCACGCTGGTCACATGGTTTCTGCTGGGGTTCATCCTTCGCTGAGTTTATGGTTCCGGGCTTGGTTCATGGTGTGGAGGTTAACGAGAAGTGATGGTGGTTCAGGAGTTTATAGCAGGGCATTGGGGATGCAACTGTTCGAGCTTGTGGGCATGGGGTGTCGGACTATGGCTCAAACTGCAGCATCTAAACTTTAGAGTTTGCAGAAGAGTGGGTCGATCAAGGCTACTGAAGCAGGCGTGGCTCGGCTGGTCGTGTTTAGGTACAAGGTCGGGTGCTCCAGCCTGTCTATGCAGCTTTCGGGAGGTGCGTTTTGGATTTGGGGAGTGCATCAAACATTCCGATACATACAGCCACCAACTCCCCCTAAACCCCTAAACCCTAAACCCCTCTAACCCTAAACCCCCGAACCCCTAAACCCTAAAAGGGGATTGACGGAAAGCCCTGTACCCCGAAAGCTCTAGAGCCCCATGCACGAAGGAACCCTCTAGGGACGCCCCAAGCCACAAACCCTACAAAATCCCCAAATGGGGTGTGCTTCCTAAATCCGAAGCCCGTCAGCAAAGCCATCCTTCAAGATCCGATCGTCAGTGAATGGGCTGAAGGGGTACATGCGTAGTTCTCGAAGTTAAGTTCCCAGTTTAATTAGGCCGCCAAAATGGTACCGCACCCTTATCAAAAGGACCCCACAAACCAACCCTAATTTGGAGAACGACGTGTACCCATATGCCCATGGAGCCCCCACAAGCAGGAACGCTATCGAAAACATGAACGTGCGGGGTTAAGGGTTTAGGTTTTCTTTCCAATTTCAGGGCACACTGCCACATAGAGCCATAAACAAAAAAAGATGGACCTTACAAATTAGGACAGGGTGTCGGGGTATAGTACGGCATGGCATCATCGTTATGCCTCTGAATAGCGACGAAACCAATACGAATTGTTCCGACCTTGTTGTCCTTCATTCCCGTGTAAACCCTAGTCATAAAACCCTTCTCGAACCTCGTTCGAAAAGACGTATATAAACAAGAACAAACAAACTTTGTAAAACTAAAAACTAAGTCATCAAGCCCAATAGAAACCAATGACAGCCCTATAAAGCCGCGATGAAAGCCTAAGCCGTGCACCTTAAACCCTGAGCCCTTAAACCCCAAACCCTAAACCTTCAAACTCTAAACCGGGAACCCTAAACCCCAGACCCTAAACCTTCAAAGTCTAAACCGCAAACCCTAAACCATAAACCCTTAAACCCCTAAGCTTCAAACTCTAAACCGGAAACTCAGGGATCTTGGAATTGCCGGCCCTCCCTTCATCTTTGCCCAGCGGCGGAGAGACCGGCTCGAAGACCGGAGCACCTTGGATCAACCCAGGGGTTCCGGTAAGGCATTCGCGGTTTAGGGCTTAGGGATTCGGGGTTATTATAAGTATAGCTACCCTAACTACACGAATTCTCATAGTGGTGATAAGGCGACTAATAGTTAGTATAATGGTCCCCTAAGGGTAGAGTCGGTTTAACGATGTTTAGGGTCTAGGAGTCTAGGGTTCCTATAAGGACCCCTATTAACAGGTAGTTTAAGGGTAGAGTCTGGGGTTTCGACGAAAGGGTTCTGTTAACAGTTCCTTTAAGGGTAGACGGTTTAGGGTTTGGGGTCTTACGGTTTGGGGTAGGCCTAGGGTTCCAAAAAGGCATGCCTTTAACAGCTCCTTCAAGGGTAGGGTTTAGGTTCCTTCACGAGTGGAGTCTACCAGGGTTCCTATAAGGATTCTTTTTAAAAACAGCTCCTCTTAGGGTAGGGTTTAAGGTTCCTTTAAGGGATTAGGGTTTAGAGTATCGATATGGTTCAAGGTGTAGGGTAGGGTTTAATTAGGGATCCTTTATGTGTTCCTCTCAAGATCTCGGTAAACAAGATGCTCTATGCGGATTCTTGTGAGGGCTCGTTTAAGGGTTGGTTTAGAGGTTGGCACAAGCGTTCCCATCTGTCTTGAAGAGAAACCACAACAGCTAGCTTGGGTTTATAGCTTGGTGTTAAAAATCTAAAGGTTCAGGTGGAGCCCTACACCCCGAACCTCGTGTTATCACCTCTCGGGTCTCCCCAAACCGCACATCCCGAAATCACTACACCACCCAACCCCAACCAACCCCTGCAACCACAACCAAGCCCGCAATACCACAAAACCAAGTCCAGTGCTCTAGAAAACCCTGGACTCGACTATGACTACTCGCATCGATATCACAACGAAAGACAGGACCCCAGTTGTTTTGCCAAATTGCACTAGGCCCCCAGAAACCTCTATCAGGGGATGAGCACCCCAGCCCAGAAAGGTTCAACTATGGTAGAAACTTTTACTACAAAGGCAAAAAAAGTAGGCCCCTAACCCTAACTTACCCCTAAGAAAGCCTTTGCCGGCCGGACCACTCCGTGCTTCGCGCAGGACGAGGGCCTGGTTGTGCTCGGGAAGATCCTGAAGAGTTTAAGATCCAGCAAGACTGGTTTAATCATGCTTCGGGCTTCTGGGTATACGCTTTAAGTTTAGGGTTAATTGGTAGAGGGGTATCACAGGGTTTGGGGTGCAGGATTTAGGAAGTTTAGCAGGGCCAGTTTAGGGTTTCGGCAGGCTTGGTGGCACCCGAAGGACACGGGCTTTTGTGACATTAGTATAGCTTTTGAACCGGCGTAGCAGAACCTGAGGCACACGGGCTTTCATGAGCCAACAATAAAATCTTGAACTCAAGCACAATGCCGGCCAAAATCTTTCGGGCTACTTGGACCCTAATTTAGGGGTCACCTTAAATCAGAAACCTCAGCCCTATTCTCCCAAAAGCGACACCAACACAATCGACATTTTGTGCTACATGCCACATCACAGCCAGGAGGGAGGCTAGGTTGGCCCTTTGAAGCATATTCGCAAATAAGATCCTCTTAGGCCCAATAAGGACAAACATATAATTCCCCAAAGCCCTACCTAAGGGCTGTATCAAGATAAAACGAGGACTCGAAGTCCGAGCAAGCTTTGGGTTCATGTAGGGTTCAGGGCGTAGGGTTTAGGGTTTAGGGTTCAGGTTTCGCTGATGTAAAAGTAGGGTTTAGGCCCACAAAAAGACTCTGCATCAAAAACAAGTTGGTCTGCATGCGGCTCATGTTGGGGGACCTTATGCTTTAGTTTAGGGTCTTGGTATCGCCAGGTCATGTATACCACCTTGGTAGTGCACTTATTTTGCCTTTGCCTCGCTCTGCTTGATATGGAACTTGTGAA